TTCCAACTTGAAAGCCAAGCTACGGGTCCTCCTCCTCCCAGGGCCAGGCCTTGCGCATCACCTTCGCTCGTGGCGAGCCAGCCATGGTGCGGGTAACCTTGATGTCCTCCCAGCCCTGGGCCTACGGAGGAGCTCACCGCGATGTAAAGATCTTGGGGGATTTAAATTTAAAGGATCCAAAGATCCAAAGATCGGTGGATACTGGTCGTCTTCATCCAAAATTCAAAGATCTATAAATGTGAGATCTATAACATACTATAATTTTGCCTGTACTAAATTAAAGATCTTGGTGGAATTATGTTTGGAATTTAAGCCCTTGATGAAGCTTTTCTTGGAGATCTTTAAGATGAGCTCACCGTCAGCGAAATTTATTTTGGATTTACGGGAATCGAATTGACTCAAGCAACATCTGGCGATTTTTTGTGATGGCTTATCGATAGTCAAAAGCTGAATTGCATGGACGAACATGTGGACCTCGCGTACACACACATCCAGACTTTGCCTAGAAAATTATTGGGTGTTAAATAATCGATCCAAGAGATACGCGGATGTAGACCAAAAAAACACCGAGGATGCCACGAATTCATTTATGAGCTTTCATATTGTTGGGAACCTCTTAGTAGTCTTTTTGGCTACCCATTCTTCATATTGGGATACTCCTTAGCTCCCTCCTATCCACCAAATAGTTGGCTTGTTTTTCATGACTTTGATGTTCGATTTGAGGGTTTTCTAAAATGGGGTAATTATCCAAAAAAAAAAAGTCCAGCCATGACAGCCATTGGTTTCGCCTTCCGCGCCACTGGCGCCCGTGAAAACACGCGCCGCCCTGCAGCACATGCGCATGCAACAAGGCCCAGCAGCAGGGGCCTGATCAGTGGGGTCAGAAGCTACAAGTTGACAAGTTCTAGCATTCCATATATATATATATATTAGAGAGACAGAGACAGAGAGAAAGGGAGAGAGAGAGTGTGTGTGTGTGCATATACATATATATACATATATATATATGTATATATATGAGTAGATAATTATATATGTGAATATAAACAAATTTAAATATATATATATGATATATGTAACTAGGAACACGGCCTTTAGAAGGCCGTGGGTTTTTTTGTGATCAACGGTGTATCATGGATGATTTTTGATGTGCTCGTGCCAATAGGATTTTGTTTGATGTGATTTTTAAGGCCGTTATCCTCTTATTCTGGTGCATATTTTCAAAAACCTGCATTTCGCCTAGACGAAACTACCATTTTTGAGGTTTTTGAGAACTCCCAAACTAATTTCATTTGACCTGACATGTTTTGATGTGGTTTTTAAGGCCGTTAACCCCTTATTCTGGTGCATATTTTCAAAAACAAGCATTTCGCCTAGACGAAACTACCATTTTTGGGGTTTGTGAGCATTCTCAAAATATTCAACCTGACATGTTTTGATTCCTGTGTTGGTCACAGCAACGCTTCGAGTTCTTCCAAGAGAACTTACAATAGCGTGGCATGCACATGAGTGGAAAGTTCCAGAGAACTTGAACTTACAGTAACGTAGCATGACGTATGAGTGGAAAGTTCAAGAGAACTTACAGTAACGTAGCATGAGGTGCGAGTGGAAAGATCAAGAGAACTTACAGTAACGTAGCATGACGTATGACGTATGCATGGAAAGTTCCAGAGAACTTACAATAGCGTGGCATTACTCATGAGTGGAAAGTTCAAGAGAACTTACAGTAACGTAGCATGACGTATGCATGGAAGATCCAGAGAACTTGCAATAGCGTGGCATGACGCATGAGTGGAAAGTTCCAGAGAACTTACAGTAACGTAGCATGACGTATGAGTGGAAAGTTCCAGAGAACTTACAATAGCGTGGCATGACGCATGAATGGAAAGTTCCAGAGAACTTACAGTAACGTAGCATGACGTATGAGTGGAAAGTTCCAGAGAACTTACATAGCGTGGCATGACGCATGAGTGGAAAGTTCCAGAGAACTTACAGTAACGTAGCATGACGTATGAGTGGAAAGTTCAAGAGAACTTACAATAGCGTGGCATGACGCATGAGTGGAAAGTTCCAGAGAACTTACAGTAACGTAGCATGACGTATGAGTGGAAAGTTCCAGAGAACTCACATAGCGTGGCATGACGAATGGGTGCTTCCTCCGCAAGTTCACATGAACGTTATTACATGCCCCACCCCACCCCACCCCACCCCCCCGGATGTGTACAAAACACCACGGCCTTCTAAAGGCCGTGGTCCAACTAAATAGTACGATAAATAGTTACCTACTGTGGTTTTTAACTACAGTTACTAACTAATGTGATAAACTCAAAAATAAATAAAAATAAACAATTCCCAAACATTTGGGGGTTAGCTTTGCAACCCATAAAAATGAAGATGACTTCGGGATGGTTTGTGGCATTGGATTTACCACATTAGATATTAGATGAATGAGTAAATCTGGACCTCTCGAGAATAATTCTTGGGATTTCTGGCATGGAAGGTTGCTACAGCGTCTTCTAAGCATGATCTAGGTCCAGGTTTTGAAGCGCTTGGGCAAAATGAAGGTTCCTACAATAGGGGTACCGGGGTACCCCCAAATCATCCCTTAGATGGATTTTCCATTTAAATATCCAGGTATTGGGGTACCCCCATTTATGGAAACCCCCCAATGTTGGACCCCTGTCCGCTCCAGAAATCGTGGACCTACTAGCTCCAGCATTGCTAGTGCTGCTGTCGCTGCGATTGCTGGCACCGCTGGCAACACGATGCACTGGACTTGGTGACAGGACTCGCCTCCAAGCGGTCAGGGCAACTGAGGCAGCGGCAGGGAATTCCACATAGACATAGAATAGATCAAAGTCAAATGATACAGTATCACTCTATAATAATAGGCGTGTGCGTTCTTGATAGTCTTACAGAATGTGATTTGGGTTTAGCGGGCGTCTCTCCACTTGCGCAGTTCCGTTGGAGAAACCTTCTGAAATTATCTGAAATTCAAATCAGCTGGAAGTGGAAAAACCAACATTTGTATACATTTGTACATTTGTACATGCTACTCCCGCCAAACCCCCTATCTGCAGGGCCCTATCTGCAGGGGATTTTCCATTGCCGTAGAGTGTAGTCCAAGCTGGTCCAAGTTGCGGCGTCACAAAGCACGGCACGGCCAGCAGGCAAAGGACACCACAAGCCTTGCGCATCCCAGTCATGGCGCAAACAGCTATAGAATGCTAAAGTGCTAAACCCAGATGGTATCCCAAGGATGCCAAGTTGGTTCTCCTTGCACCTTGTTTCTGTCTCGGTGTCCTTTTAGTTCTGTGATCCCTTTGGCCAGATGGGCACGTGTCACCCATACTCTTCGCTACGTGAAGACGCCTTTTTTAGCTTGAGTAACTGAACGGCGAGATCCGGATTTCACCCAGACGCCATGAAGAGGATATGTTTTGAGGCAGTCTGCATAAATATATCAAGAAAAGCTAATGTTTAAGGATGTAGAAGTCACTCTGCAAGAGATTCCTGTAGAAATCAGAACAGGAAAACGTGCTCAGGCCGGCAGTAATCCAACTCCCCCTCAAGAGATGAGTTGGCCTCCAGATCATCCGTTAGTCACCGGGCTAGAAACAGGAACAAGGTGGCTCAGAAGCAATTCTATCACCAATCAGTGGTTCCCAGTTTCCTTCATCGCGCATCACTATTTTCTGACGCCATTGACACAACACCCGCCCATCGATTTTCGGAAGGATCCTGCGCCAGTTGAGGCGTGGTGACTAACAAAAGCGTCTGGCTGGCGTAAACACATGCATTTGAAGAGCGAACCATAAATCACCTCTTCATTGAATCACGATAATTTGTTCATAAGAAAGTTCGCCTGGGAAATGAATCAACTTGAGACCCCAAACCAGCTGTAGCTCCTGACAATTTCCTGACATGTCTCATCGGTTTCCCTGTGGCCCAACCTTTTGAACGCCCAGCCATATCTACTTCGGCAGCACTAAAAGTGGCCGCTTGGCCCCTCAGCTTTTGTGCAGAGCCTGGCACGCTGCTAGCGCTGCAAGAATACAAGTAGCACTCCGTGTCCATCATCCCATGATATATCCCATGATATGTCCGCTGCTGTGCCCATTCCATGCCAAGCCAAGTTGTACTGCCCAATTGTGGCACATTCATGTACAGTATAATACTGCATCTCAATTGCTTGTGTACACTGGCTGCCGCTATCATCCTGAATCAGGGCGCGTGCCGGTGACACGCGGAATACACAACCTCACCATAAGTCATAGTTGGGAAATCGAATCACCCCAAAATGGCTTCGACAGGAAGTATAGGGGGCCCATGTTTTGTATGGCTGGTGGTTTCAACCCCTCTAAAAAATATTAGTCAGTTTTGATGACTATTCCCAATATATGGAAAAATAAAAACTGTTCCAAACCACCGACCAGTTGTGTAATTTACCCAGACCACGAGAAGCTTCAACTGCACAACCCCCTCTTGGTTTTATCTCGTCGCACGTCCATCACCGCCACGCGACGTGGGAGCGAAGAGAGCATCCCAGCGGGGCCCAAGTTCCTGCTTATTGGAACTGACCCTGGCAAAAATGATCAAACTCTTGCAGAATAGTCTAGCAACTCCAAAAAAGATAGAACCGTAAAAATTTCACTAGAATAGTGATAACTATTGATAACTCACTGTTTTATCTTTTATGGGTTGGTGCTATAGATGCTGATAACTAAATTTGAAGACCAAAAACCAAAAATATGAGGTCCCTCTGGCTCTGGTTGGAGGAACCAGCATGTTTCCTTGAATCCAGAAGGTTGCACGTAACAATGCTGGGTACTTCTCCGCTGCCTCGACTTCTTGTGGACCATTGCCCAAAGAAACGCGTCGTCCACGCCACATCGTCTTTGAATCGATTGAAAAAATCTGGGGTGAGTATAGGATAGTTTGAGCTCAGTGTGCCGTTACGAAGCGGGCCAATTGCTGCAAACTTGCAGGCCTGGCAGCTTAGCGCAGAGATGCGCAGAGCCAGGCTTGAACTTGGGGGGGCCATGGTGGAGGAGCATCTTTTATACTTGCTTCACAGAGAAAGCAGGCTCACACTCACAGGAGAAAAAATGGCATCCAACATCATCGAACCATATCCAACCGCCTCAACAAAACCATGATGCCACCCTTGGGGGTATCAATCGGACAATCCGATGCCCAGAAAAATCTCCACGGTTTTTCCAGGGAGCATCCCGAGGCTCCGCGCTTCACGAAGTTATCCGAAAGCCGCAACAAAGTCAGGCCATGCATCATGTCCAAACCTGACGATGGGTCTCCCTTGGCGCTGAGATGGGAAAATGACGGTGATTCCGGAGGCCAAGGTGATGTGATGGCTTGCTACCCCGTGATGAAGATTTCAAGAATGACATTTACAGTTACGTGCTGGTTCAATATGGAATATGTTTGGGGAATGATATGGACTTGTCTGCTCGATGATTTGAGAGTACCTGGCCTTAGCTCAAGACATCATGGATATAGGGATATAATGGGATATATAGGAATCTTATGGAATCTTAAAGGCTCACCCAAAAATTCATTCGAACATCTCTGCTACCACGCCAAATGGCTAGTACGTCAGGGCGCAAAAATATCAAAAATGAAAATCTGTGTCCAATGACCTGAACTACATGCAGGTCACCTTTCTTGCAGATTCCTTCGAAGCTGATTCATTGCCATCCTCTCATGTGGGAAACCACAAGCAGTTTTACGGTAATCCTTGGCCATATCATATCAAGATTCTGCTAGTACATCCATGCTGCACTGCCGCAGCTGGAAGGGATGCTCACCCATAGTTCCTAGCTGCGAGTGGCCAAACATGATCGAATTATCCATGGTTGATCAGCAACTGGGTTTGTCTGAACATTGGGTAGTCAGCCCTTGAACAGGCCATCAAAATGTGGGCTAGTGATAAAAAAATGATCATATACAACAATCCATCAATGTATTTGCTATTATATATTATGATTTATAATGGATTATTATAAAATATTGTAATGGATTATTCTCTTATGGATTATGATCATATATTGTCATTGAAAAATCTGGGTTTTCCTTGGTCTTCCCCTTTCATCCCGGCCCCATTGCCCGCCCGGCCTGGCGAAAAGCTTCGGATCTGCTTGCCGATCTGCCGGAAGGCCGCCTCGCCAGTGGCCAGGTCGAACTCCAGGGCGTTCTCACCTGGCCAAGCCAAGGGCTGGAGAATGGAGGCATATCATGAAGATACAATGGGAATTTTCGGGGATTTCATAGGGAATAGCGAAGAGCCTCTAAAGAGGCCATTTTATAGATTGATGATTGTATGATCCATTAAAAATGTTGAATTTCTATAGCTATGTTGAACTAGCAGAGTGTAGTAGGTCCCAATAAGTCCAAAGCACCTAAAAGTGAAAATGTAGTGCCTTTGCAAACACAGAATGTTTCTTTCTGATGCAGCTGTTTGTTGTTGAATTTTCGCAGTTGCCATGATTTATTCATAGTTAATTAGTATTGCGTGACAGAGATCTTCTCCTCCCCCTGGAGTCCATAGAAAACAACGTCCGTTCCTCGGTACGGAAAACAATGACCCCTGTTTGTCTGTCTGTCTGTCAAGCCGTGCGCCGCGCGGCGCGTGGGCAGCTCCAACTCCATACATATGCACACAACATGCAGACTAAAAACTTAAAGGCACTGTGCTACAAGGCAGCCTGACTGGCCCCAATCGATTCATTGGTTCAAAACCAGTTGGCGCCATTGCTTTTCATTCTGGACAAAAAATAACAGATTGCGAGTACTACCTGTAAAGGAAAGTGCTAAAGAAAGAACTTCAGGTATCCACTCTTTACGAGGCCGGCCTACCCTTCTCAGATATCGAGATGTAGCAGCAGTGTATGTGCCAGGTTCAAACGAGACTTGTCTCAGAGGGTGGTTCGGGTGGTTCGGGTGGCAACGCAGAATCTTTCCCAAAAGCAACAGCTGTTTTCGTTCAAGAAGTTTGGACACTGGAACGTGCGCACTTCGTTGCCAGACTTCAGCGTTGGATGTTCTGGACAACGACCCCTGCACGCCAAACAAATCCTTCCGGTCTACAATTTGTCAACGATTTATCCACGGATTCTTGGGGGTTGATCACAAGCATCAGTTAAACTATTATTTGCCAAATTCTAGGGAGGGTCTATTTGAAGGGAAATACACATCCCTTGGAAAGCCAACAATGGTCTCCAAGAACGTACGGTCAAGGAAGGTTAGGGAGATGGTTGAATCCCTCTGAATCCGTCAAACCTCAGAACAGCAGCCACACGGGAACTGATGATCATAGACCTTCTGAGAATCGTGTCAAACATTATATGATTTTCCAGTTCTCGAGGTTAAATTCCCAGAAGAGTTAGATTTAATTAGATTTAAGTGATTGTTAGTCATAATTTTCCCCATTAGATATACTAAACGGCAATTTTATGGGTATACCGGTATACCATGGTATGCCATGGTATACCATGGTATACCATGGCATACCATGGTATAACATGGTATACCGTATGTAAACCGACAAACCGACAAACCATTTCATATTCCACGCCTGCCAAAGGGACCTGATGAAAAATGGCCGCCTTGCGCACTTGGGCAATGAGGTCCTGCCATCAGGTGGGGTGGGGAATGATTTCATATGGCGACATTCAAAAATGAAGAAAACATAGCGGAAATCATCAAAAACAATCGGAATTGTCGGTTTGTTGATGATCCCAGGCGGTTTATTTCACGTCAACTGTTTTGTTTACAATTTGGGGAGTGCCTTGGCCTCTGTGTCTGTGGGTGCCTGAAGTTATTTCTTAAACACGCCCTAATTTACAGAAACTAATCCCTCAATAAATCCAAAGTTGATTTTTTCCAATATCCTCTCAATTGTAAACTGGTTGAAAAAAACAACTAGTCTAAGTTAGGCCTTCCAGGGATTGGTTTGAACTGGTTTGGAACTGTTTCGGACCACTACCTAGTATATAAGTAGTATGAAACGGCTTGAAACGGTTTCGGACTATTTCCCAACGAGCCATGCTTAGAAACTGTTTGAAACTATTTGAAACTTTGTGGGGCTTTTGCCAAAGCGAAGTAGCGAAGTAGCAAGTAGCAGGAAACGCTTTGAAACGATTTCGGGCTATTACCTAGAAAGTCGCCAGAAACGGATTGAAACGGTTTCTGTGATGCTCTTATTCTGCCTTAAACCATCAAACAAAACAAAAGACTAATAAAGATACATGTAACTTAAGCTGACACATCATATAGAGATAGATTTTGATAAAGTATGATTTAAAACTGTTTGCATATTTAAAAGTAAGACAGTAACAGCGCCTGATTCTAAGATAGGGAATCCAAGAATATAGAATGAAAGAGAATGAAGAACGCCTGCGCCAACAGCCTGGCAGCCTTGCTCTCTTGGTGACAACATGGCTTACTTGTGGGGCAATCTCTGGACTTCAAGTGATTGACTGCTATCCTTGTCCAATGGTTGGGATTGGTAAAAGCAAACCCGGTTTTGTAAATGGTTTCTGGGTTTGGGGCCCAGGTTAAGAAATCGTTTCTGGGATTTGAGAACCAGCTTCTGGGATTTAAGAAATAGTTTCCCGTCAAAGTTACCTCTTAGGAGGGTTAAGCTGGCAGGTTACCGAAGAAACCGGGCTCCGGCCCGACGTTTGGGGGAAATCCCTGATTTGGGTATCCTCTGAGGTGTCAAAAATGCCATGTGGCAAAACTCGGCTAACAACATCCCCCAACACACCCGCAAAGGCTCTCAGCCACATGGATTTTGTTTGGGGAACGTATTTTTTGGGACCCCTCAACTTGTGAGTATCGCGTGTGGAAGTATTCGCAGTGTTGTATGGCGCATTTGGCACAAAGCGCATTGGGCATAGAGTATGCGTTGCTTTTGTTGCTGTTTGATACACCCTTTCTTGGATTGAAACAGCATTACAACTGGTATGGCGTGATAGTACTCCCATTTGGATTCTAGATGGTTTCAAGTGTCAAGCGTCAACAGTTTCACTGTGGTGAACCACGGGTGAAGGAGGCACTAGTACTATTGACGACTATTGACATTGGTTCTTTCTCACCACCAGCTACTATTCGCAAATGATTGTTCCAAGATTGAATTTAATAGGTTTACCCTGAAAACATGGTCAATCAATAACAACTTTTACTTGCAAATATTACCCTTTGATTTAAGTAATGGTTCCTGGTAAATCAACATGATTTAGCAAATGGCCTCTACATTTTCTACTTTGCTTAGCAATGGGTTTTACATACTCTACATATCTAGCAAGCGGTTTCTACACATTCAACTTATCTAGAAAATTGTTTCTAGCGTTATTTAGCAAATGGTTTCTACCTTTGCAAGTAATAGCTTCTGGATTTTACAGAAATGCCAAATAAAGAAGCCAACGCACTTCACAATTTATAATATATAGTTATATAATGTTATATAATTGGGCTTTACAAAACAACAAACGCAACTGGTGGGCACTACCTTGTAACTCCACGAATCTAACCATGTATGGTTTGTCTGGAAGGGTGTTAAGCCAAAAAATACAGTGAAGACGACCAGTTTCCCTTTTCTTGAGCAAAATCACAACATTTTGTTCATGGGATACCCATGGATACCCACGTATACCCCATCTTCAGACACACCCATCGTACCACCTTGTTCGAAAATCATCAATGGGTAAATCATATCGCTGGGGTCCAGTACCAGGTGTGACAAATCATGACCAATCACTTTAAGAATTCTTAAATACCCAAAAACACTAAGCATCATTGGCAGCTTCGCCAATGGCCCCCTCCTCTGGAGCGGATAATGCATTGGGAACGCCACTACATCCGTCGTTGGTCATCTCCATGCAGGTGAAGTTGAACAAGACCGGCCTGGCATGGAGAAGTTCAATGGGGGATCACCTTTGGGTTGGATGGGTTTGGTTGGATCCCCCTGATTGTTTTTAAGTGTTCAATGCCTTGGTTTCATTCCAAAACTTGTGGGAAATCGTTTTTTTACTCTGAGAATCCTTGAAAATGGGTTTTGTTCCAGTCTGATTCCCCTTCAACATCAATTCCGGGCAGCATGGGCACTTCGGACTGCAGCTCAAAACAGTCTAGCGATAGTTTCTGCGAGGACAATTCTTCAAAAAACATGTGTTCACATCTGTTTGGACCATCAAACCTCTGACCAGGGTTTCTTACGTTTTCGTCTTTTGCTCATCATTTCGTGCAAATGCTGACCTATTTTCCTATGACACCCGCAAAAAAATTAAACTGACAATTTTTCTCTCAGAAATCTCTACGGAGTTTCCCCGATGATCTCATCAAGGATCGGCACCTCTTTGCCGCAGTGGAAGATTCCGCCAACATCTTGGCGATCTCCATGTAGGCATCCGCCTTGCAGAGTGCACAGTGGTGCTCTGTGGCAATGCTTGAAGATGCAGCCAGGCGACTGTCTCACTGGTGCAGCAGTTGTAGCCAGCACATGCCTGGTATCCAGGATGTCCCCTACAAAATCAGCCATGGTAAAATGAAGGTAATATGGCTCAATTATTCTCAATGTATTCAATTGCTTCTCATCTTCATGGTTTTATGATGAAACATGATGACAGGATATTGATACATAAAGGGAACTAGCTCACTACAGAAACTAGTAGGCACCCCACTTCTTCATGGTTTGAGGCCAAGAAAATCGCTTTTCAAACGGATCCAAACATGTTCCTCTATATTGACGAACGTGGTAAACCCAATCATAAACAACTCCCATGACTGGGGATGGTTGGAATGTGTTGGAATCCCAGCGGGTCCCTGCCACAAGAATGGCGATGATTTGGGCATGTTTTTTTTTTGGGGGTGCACGGTGCACCACAATAAATTGTCACAGGGTACACCATATCCCCTTTTAAAGGGGCCCTGTCTCCGAAGCTCCCCAGTACCTCGGTCGCCCGCGAAGGATGCGTGACCTGACAAGCTCTGGGGTTAGTTTTGCTATCAAATCTCAGGTCTGTTCGTCTCTGAATCGTCATTTCAACCTAAAATAAAATTGCTCAGTTGGGATCATCATGCCAAATACGCCAAAAACCAATTTAAAATCAAAAACCATCTTGGTTTTCTACCACAAATGGCGAGACAATTCACCCATTTTATGACACTCCGCACCGGCAAAATGAAGCGTGCCGTGGGGGATCCGTGGCCCGGACGTGCCAATGGAGCCCGGAGACCTTCGCAGAGAAACAGAACTTCTCCGCGGGATAGGCCTCTGCCAAGGACGGGCCCTCAGCATCCCTCAGCTCCAAAAGCTGGGCAAACCAACCGCAAACTCAAGCAGCATACTCCACATTTGTTGCAGGGTTCTTAGGAAGAGGTTGTAAGTTGTACATATCCATTTAGATCTATTTATATCTATTAAGCCTTACTGACATTCTCCGTTGTTGTCGCTTGCTGGAGTCTTCTTTGATGATCATGACTCGCCACCATTCTAGTCATTAATGAACGATACCCGAACGGAGCCCACACCGAGAATCCCAGCACTGTAATCCCAGCTGTCAGCATTCGGTTCAAGGCCAGGCACTCCCCAGAACGCCCCAGACAACCGGAGTTTTTTGCTGAAACAACATGTACAAGTCAACGCAGCAAATTATATACTGGACAAATTGCTGCATCACCGAGGTTGCAACCTTCTGGGGTGAAAGGGGAAAGATGTTGTACCAATCGGTGTGCCCTCTCAGAAGGATCTTGGGTGTATAGGGTGATCTCTGGCTGGCTGGCTGATTGCAATTTGCTGGACAAAAGGTTGGTGGAGTATGCGGCGCTTGCTTTCCAACTGGAGGTAGCAATCCAGTACTACCAAACCAAAACGAAAGACAAGAAATAGTGCTTAGTTGCGTGTGTGTGTGTGTGCGTGTCTAGGCAAAAGTTGTAAAAAAGGAGACACAATGTTACACACTAGCCAAGGTTTGCGCATGTCCATGTCCGCAAACAAACTCTCAAGAATGGCTAGCTGTGGTCTTTCTTCTGTCCGGGGAAACCCATCCTGGATCATCCTGGTTAGCCTGCCGGTTTAATCACCATTTCTGCTACTTCAGCGAGTCTAATCCCCCTATGTTTGTTCAGCGATTCCTCGTTCTTGCGGGCAATTTGTTGCTTCAGTCAAGTGCGCATCAAATGGGTGAACCCCCTATCGTTTTACAGGCTTTCCTGTTTTTACCTACATTCCTAAATTCAAGCATACTATTGAAGGTTATCCACTTGGATCTTCATCTCTGACGGTCTTTGTTCGCAAGCGTTTGGGCACGCTTCCGCTTTCGCCCATGCTTTGGAAGTTTTGCGGCTTTTCGTTTGTCTCTCAAGTGGTCCTCCGTCGCGCTGCTTGGGTGGTCACTCCAATCAGCAGGTCTTTGGAATTTCGGAAAGAACATGGGTTTCGGCCACACATAGCTGCTAACTTCAAAAAACCTTCACTCAGCCAGGGCACCAGATTTCATTCCGTCACTACAATTATATATGACTGTATCAATGATTTTTTGGAGTGATTCAACTTCATTCAATTTCCCCAAGATTTGTTGGGTCATTCTTCACATCAACACCGGTTGACTGGTGCCATCACCGCTATAGTGGTAAACCCAACTATAAACCATCCCAAAAATCACCAAGAATGGCTGATATAAACCATGCCTAAAATCACCAAATGCATCCAGATGCAAAGTTGATGATTGGTTTATGAGTGCTTATGGCTTACCACAATAATTATGTATAATATATATATCTCTCTCTCATTTTATATATATATATATCAATACATACAGTACTGTAGCATACTGCAGGTCACTGTGACCCCTTGCCTGCCCAGTCTTCTCTACTGCCTTGGCGGCTTCAGCCAGCACCTCTTTCCCTGACGTGATGACGTGATGTCAGGGCTCCACAATAAAGCTGGGAAGTTTTGTAAATTGATCATTGGTTGATCTTTGAGCATTGGTTGATCATTGATCATTGGTTGATCTATGTTGATCTCTTGAGTGATTTGAATTTTGGAGGCATGTTGAATTTCTGTCCGACCTTTTCCGATCTTCTGCCCACCACTTGCCAGGTGAGGAGGCCAACCCTTTCATTTCCATCTATATCTTCCTATAGGTCCCCCCCAACAAAAGGATAGAGAAGCTAGGAGAGGTTGCTATATGTTACTCTCTCTCTCTCTCTCCATTGTTTGTGCTGGTGAATCATGCTTGTGGTGATTTAAGCTGCCTATCTTTTTGTTGAGATCATCCTCTGAACCCTGAGCCGACACTTCTTGGATCACTCTGCAGTGCAGCTCAGGAACCGTGGTGGATCAACACCGAGGAGTACCACTCCAAGAAGGCCTCCGTTCCGAGCACGTTGTCATTTTGCAACCGCAAAAGGGAGTGGGAATTCTGATCAGAAGTGTCCCGTTATGTTGTCCCATTTTTGAGGTGCTTCCAACATCTTCCAACAGTTGAATTTACTCTCCATGACATTGTCTTTCCAACTGCTTTGGGGCGCCTGCATAAAAGGCAATTCACCAGTGGATGATCCAGAAAATGAGCAAATGAGTTACAAACAGTCTGTTGATCCCCCCTGCAAATACTATCAAGTACTGACATATAATTAGTTCAATAGAGATGCTACCCAGAAACCCTGGTTTAGCCTAGTGTATCTGAGTGACGTCCTGGGACATCTGTGCTGCCAGCGGTGGCCTTTCCGTTGCCACTTCGGAAGCCCATCTTCGGTCCCGCACGGAACATGGCCACGTCCTCGGGCCTTGGGGCTGTCGAATTTGGGGTTACCACGCGAGCTTCTTATGCCATAGTTACATGGTTTTCTACCTGGATAAACGTAATATAAACTATACAAAAACAGTACATCAAGATACTGTGAAAAAACTTATCCACCAACCTGAAAGACTCGGCCAATCAATAGTTGTCCCAATCCTTACCATCCTTAAGTGACGTCGCAGGGTTAAGTCCTTAGAAGCCTTAGAATTTATCCAGATATATGGTTGCCAAAATCCCATAATATCATTGTCACATTCTGACTCTCTACTGGTTGATTTCCGGGATATTTCCCCTGTATGGTTGGCAAATCACTCTAGCTCTCCGGTTTTGTACCCAAAATCCACTGGGTTCTCATCATTTTTGCCTGTGAAATATCCATATTTTTGGGGTACGCCCCATTTCCAGACCCCATCTGGATCCAATCCCTTGCATACCAACGGCCCCCCGGCATGGCATTCTGATCTTCTGGGAAACCCTCGGGTGGCTGGATATCCACCTCATCCTGCCATCTACTCCATGGGACCCATGTGTGAAATAATCACATGGGTGAAATGATCGGGTCACCAGGGATCTATGGGTTGCAAATAATGGTCATTACTTATTACATATCATTCTTATTGTTGTTATTATGATCGTTAAATCCGAATGTTACATGTTCAATTATCTATGTATTCGTTTGATTCTTGTGTTTGGTTTCGTGTCATTGATATGAGGTTACCCTAGGGGATTTGACTATTCAAACATGAGGGGTTGACTCACCAATTTTTCTTTAACACCTATGATTTTTGCCACATTAGGATCAGGATGAAGATTCATTTGCCAGCTGTTTTTGATGTAAACAGCAGGGTGCCAGAGTTTTCCCTGTCCAAAGTTCAGCATGTTATAGTTGAAAGATCAATGTCCAACACGACATTCCAACAGCACGATCTGCAAAAATACTTGCACCATCTTGCACCTAGCAGGCCAGCTAGAGTTTCTTGAGTCACATAGGCATATCTAGCATAATCATGCATAATCTAGCATACATTCAAAGACGTTCAGTTTGAAGTTATTTCAAGCAGGTACAACTTTCATTCAGCCTGTGACAGCCACGTGGCCTTCAACATCTTCAGCATGCCGTCATCATAGCCTGCACCATGCAGCTGGAACAGAAACATCGGTCATATCATGTCATATCTATATATAATCATATGTAATCTATTATGGGCAGCTCATGGCAGCTCTAAGGACTCTAAGTGTCATGATTAACAAGAGACACTTAGTTTGACGAATATGAATGAGACGTGCATGTTTGGAGCCAGCGAACCCATCCGAATTCATCAAACATGTTTTGAAACCTGCATGCGTGGATACACCTTCGACGCATCTGAGCTAAATTAACGTGGACTTTCGAGCTATCCAATACAGATCAAGAGATAACATGAAAATCAATAAACACGATAAACTATATATATATAACATGCCCAGAAATAAAGTATAATAACATATATTGTTTTAAAAAAAATATCAGAAATAAGTACAAAAATAAACAAAACATGAACAGACATACGTAGAACCAGCATGAACCACCAATGAATCTGATCAGGCCATCCCGTACCAGAGCTCGCTGAGCGCCCAGCACATGATGAGGCCAACTCCCGGCCAGTTCCAACCATTGGACCTTGGCGGCCACGCCTTGTCCTCCCCAGTCCCTTGTGGAGTCGTCTCAATGTGGACCTTCTGACCCACCGTCAGCCCCTCGGAGCTCGCGACATCATGTAGGATGGATACCGCAGCTCGCCGCATGGGCCCATCCCGACCTGTCACAGGTCAGAGGGATGGCTACCCGGCCAGGTTCAGCCAAGTGTTCAGGGGCCGAATCTGCCGATAGTTTTCTGTTTCTGGGAACTGTTGCAAGGTGCCAATCTGTTGGTCACCGCCACGGCCGCCACGTCAAACAAATTATGTTTGTACAATTTTGTACATCAACAGGAGTGGTTCATCGACTTTGGCGCTGTGACAGCTGCATGCAGGCCAGCCATGTCTTGAAACACGAGAATGAAAATTGGAACATATCTAAAGATATCTAAAGGCTGTTAGGTCATGGACATAGTCGACATAGTTTTCTGCTTTAATCCCCATGTAGGGCAGAACGGCGCCTGCAATTCGCAAACGGTGCTACCAATGTGTTGGCCCATAGCCTTCAGGAACGCAGTCATGTAGTCCTTTCAGGGGCCTTCTGGGCTGAAGCTAAGCCCAAGAATCGGCCAAAAAGTAAGGCTTTAAATCACCTGCAGTCCTGATAGCACTGCAGGGCGGTGCGTGTGGAACTTGATGCTGAAGGAAAGATCTTCTGGTGGTCAGCCGATAGAGACAGGCAGTCCTGCGACGGGCAGCCATGGCAATGAAGAGACACCAGTCTTTCCCCGGTCTTCCCTGTGCTGCGCTGCGATGTAAAATCCTCCGAAAATAGTCATCAAAAAGATTCTACCAAAGTTTCAGCGAAAGTCAATAAAGTTCTGACTCACACTTAAAAGATCTAAAAAGATGTTAGAACATGTTAGAACATGTTAGAACTCTGGAGAGTGCCTTGATTTGGAACCAGGCTCGGTTTGGGCGTTTGGTTCAGGCCGACCAAGACCCCCAAGACCTAACTTTCCCATTGACTAAGCCGCCGGTGCCTCGGTGACAACCCCGTCTTTGCCTTGACGCCGCACGAAAGACCGGGCTTTTGGCCAAAAATTGGGAATCCGGAATCTGGAATGACATATAATATATATTATATATATATATATAATTATATAATTATATATGTATAGATAGATTGTATATGTGTGCGTATGTATACATATAATCATCTGATGATGTAGTCTGACATGCAGTGACGCTAGAAATTACGACAAAGTTTGTGATACCCATGAGTTTTCAGTCACACTTCACCAGTTGTGGCAGCATGGAATGGCACGGATCCAGGTAGAATGCCTTCCATCGTCTCTTGGGGGCTCATGTTGGTTGGGTGCAAAACCGCTGTGCCCACTTGGGATCCAGCAAAGGAATGCAGCAACATGAAGCAACAGGCATCAACAGGCTATCACACAAATTTGTCCAAAAATCAGAGTGTTAGTAAGTAATCATGACATCATGACGGTGATAGTGATAGTGATGATGACGACGACTGCAGGGTGAGGTCCGCCTCCGAAATCCATCCCTTATCTTCTCTTGGCTTCTTTAAGAGAAACTCATAATTCACAATGTATAGAATTAGAATTGGGATGAATTGGGTACAAGCTTGAACCCCCAAGAAACGTCTTAGTTGTTGGATGTTGTTGCAAATGAAAGCAGCTTGGGTTTGGGGAACCCCATCGCCACAATTGGCCAAGCTGCTTTTGTACAGAAGGCCTTTGCTCTTGGCCACTTCCAAACACCATGCCTTTCAGGTCAGGAGTCAGGATGAAATTTTCTGATAGAGCAAGGATGAAGAGCACAACAGCAGTCAAGCCAGGTTGGGCAGAGGGAAGGAAGCGAAAAACCTAGATAATCGGATAATCGTCAACTCATGGGGAAGATATCCCTGTTGTTGATAGTTAATCCCCACATTTTATCCCCATATAAAAATGATGTAATATGATATCCCATGATATCCCCATCTAATAGAGAAAATGATGATGTTCCATTGGAATTTCGGGGTACCCCATTGTCAAACATACCCAGATTCCACAGCCCCAACTTCTGGAGCACCGGCAAGGGGAAGTTCACGGTATCTCCAACGTTGCCACCACACTGGTGAAAGGACATCACTGCCTGCGACGACTGAAAGTCCCAACGAGAGAAATTAGCCTCTGGTAAACTAACATAGCTATGGAAAATCACCATTTTTCATGGGAAAATCCACTATAAATCACCATTTTGGTGCGGCTCTGTACGTAAAGCGTCCTTTGCGGTACTAAGTTTGTCTATCGCATAAAAACCGAGTCATTCACATCATTTCACGCCCACCAGATCTCGCGTCAAAATTCTTTGCCGCTTGGCCCCACCTGCAGTTCGAGATCTAAGGATTTAAGCAGGTCACAAAGCTCTTTGGCACCCTGGAAGCCATATTCTTGAGGTCGCGGCTCGCCTTAGTGAAAGGGTGGAGGATTGGGTCTTTTCTTGTGGAAGTTGGAAGTGGAAAAGACCCACCAAATCCATCCAAATCCCACCAATCTGCTTCCGGAATTCTGTTCCGATTTGCGCCATTTCTTTGGTTTGCCCAGCATTTACCATGCATTTACCATCATTTACCTTCACTTGCCACTTCGGATCTTAGTGTTTCTATAGTTTCTATGGAGGGTTTCTCCAGTGGGATCATCAAATTTTGAGGCCAAGTCACACAGACCCCACCAAATATCCGCCTCGGGGACCATCACTGGTCTGGTGCATTAGATGCACCATGGACCCATTATATCTATAGATATCTATAGAGACATACATTGATACATGCACAGTATTCATCATTATTCTGCATAATTAGATATTGATACATGAATTGCTGCGCGTTCTCCGGTGGCAACACGCCACAAGCATATTCTGCCCGTGCCTGCCCAAACCTGTCCCAGTCCTGCACACATCCCGAGGCCCTTTTTCTTCAAACTACCCGATGTCAGCCCTGCATCTTTTCAGAGCTGTGGTAGCTGCAAACTACTTCTCATTCAGTTTTCTGAACGAGGCAACCATTTTCTCGGCCTTTGTCCGCTTGGTAAATCTGGCTTCAGGAAGACTCAAAAAATCAGGATGGAAACTTGCGAACCGCAATGGACAACCAACTAAATCAAGTGGTTCAATCAGAAAGTCGCCATACGCAATTCCTGCATGTTCCTGCATGTTCCATTCCTGCATTGAAACAACCAAAAGGCTCATCAACTTCAGTAACTTCAGTGACGTCAGTAACTTCAGTAAGCAGAAACCTGCTCTGAGAGAAGCCTGACTCATCGATGGACATGCCCCATGCATCTTTTTTCACCAGCTGGCACCTTTGACTGGCCATTGCCAGCTTGGCCAATCGGAGGCGGTTATGGATTCTCTTTGGGGGCCTTGAGTCACCTACTGTATTTTTTATCGGTCACTTTGGGGCCATGACCCATAGCCACGCCTGCGACATCATGAAGGTCAGTTGAACCCAACTGCCATGATGTACAGCATGGTCCATGAATGATGCCATGTCAATCCAAATCAAGTATGTCAAAGGAATACAAGTAAGAATGGCAACCCCCATCAAAACTGTTGATAATAACCCACAGCCCCTCACTAGTTACACTTAAAGTTGTAGCACTTAAAATATGCCATCAAAATATATGACTGTTCCAGTGCAGGTGTCCCACTGGAATCTGACCCAAGCTATCTTTTGGTATTTTCTCATCATTTCATCCACTTCTCTTAATTGAACAACCCATTCTTGTAGACGTTGTCCCCAACACATTTCTTCCAGGGCGCCCGTTGCCATCCATTTCCGCCGGTCAATCTTGGCTGGGTTTCACAATTTTACCTTCATCCTTGAGGCGCTGCCAATCCTGGAAGAGCTGGCCGGTGCATTTTGGGATATGATTTGTCTGTCCATTCATGTATCAACTTGATTGACGATGACCTGTTTGACCTTGTGTGGCCATTTCTCTACTCATCTTTGAAGTTAAAACTCAAAACATGTTAAAACGCATCTGATTGCCGACTTGGAGCAGTCACTCCCTGAATCTGCATCCGTAACTTTGAAATAAGGAAGCCATGAAACTGTCGCCCTTCAGGACGCCCCCCTGCTGCCCAGAATCCATGCGACTGGGCATGCACGACCTTGGGCGATACAAAGGCACGAGCTTAGGGCAAAAACCGCCCCAACCAATGAAGAAACCACGGCTGACCTGAGATACAAGTTGGTCTATAACTCCAATAACTACGGTTTATAGGTGATATATCTATAGTTCATGGGATTATAACCAATTTATAACTGCGGGGGGCACCACCTTGTACCGTGGAATAGTGATTCAAAGAAAAGCAAACCTACTTTAAACTTTATACCCATTCAAAACTGGGGACAAGACATGAGAGACAGTTTGAAACACCGTCCATCCCTATGTAGGCACCCCACATACACCCAAAAAACAATTTACAATCTCCAATGCGAAATGAAATGCTGCACTTATTCATCTATTCTCACCGGTGCCTCAAAATCTGTTTCCTTTACCTGGCCCCAAGTATCCCCAAGTTGTTCAATGGATCAAGACTCGGCCCAATGGCTTCACCAGTTCGCCAAGCTGCCAGCAAAGTCGTGAGCTCGGGGTCTCACATTGGAGACCTCAGAGCCAGGATTTTCAAGCGCACAACCCTACCCTTGCACGAACCGTGCCTAGGAATGATCATCCTACAGTATGGTGTTCCACTGTGGATTGAGATGTACATTTAACTTTTGACACCCAGCAAGGATGACTTGGACTTCGGGACATCAACTGAGGCATCCAATGATGTGGCTGCCCTGAAACTGACTTGGCTTGCCACAGGACTATATATACCCTCCGGTAATCAAACATGACGATGGAAAATCATGAAACATCCATCAATTATGGAGGAACTACAATGTGAAGGGGTTACAAGATGATTTTCCTATATGGTCCCAAGCTTCCCACGTTTATACATTTATAGATGGTTTCCCCTATAATCCCATTAGAGACTGGCAATTCCACTGACACATTTACAAAGAAACATGAATCTTTCGCGTGTCACGAGGCCCTTCTCTTTCCGATCGATGATCTTGCTGCATTCACAACACCGGCCGGAGCTCCTCAGTTGCTGTTGGTGCGCATTTTGCATTCGTTGACACTTGGTCAGCGGATATACCTATCTGTCTAATCTATATAATCTAATCTAAAATATAGAATCGAATCGAATCGAATCGATCTATCTAAATATCGATCCATACATCCATCTATCCTATCTATGCATGTATGAATGTATGAATTGACAAATGTCTGAATGTACGTACGAGTACGTATGTATGAATGTATGCACATATGAATGTATGAATGCGTGCATGAGTGCATGTATGCATCTACACATGCGTTTATATACATCATTTACATCATTCCGTGTGGCAACATACATCATCATACATCTACGTGTCCTTGAGATTCCTTGAGCTATTCCATGATTGTCAGCGCTTCCAAATTATTCATCAAAAAAACAAAAATACATTTATCATTATATATCGTTATTGATGGTGAATATCCAACATTGGTTCCGACACCCAAAAAGTGAGACCATTCTATCTGACAGGAAACTTACTTTCACAACGGTGCTCTGATCAGGATTGAGACTCACACTGCGGAATTTTTATCTATATATGAGTGTCCTAAAATGGAGGGGGGGTACCTCAAAACCATGGGTTTCAATACTAAAATGGTCTAAGGACTTGGATGCTTTCGGGTACCCCTATGATTTAGGAAACCCCATATTATAGATCCATATAGATCCACTGGCGACTGTGATCCTGAGTCTTGACCCCAGGGTGTCCCTATTTTGCCATAATCGAACCATCTCCAACACATCGGTTTCTGTGAAAATAAGTGATATATGGTCATTACCCAAAACAAAATTATCAGGTGTCCCGGTCAAACTTTAACGCTTAAAGTTGCCACAAATTCTGGCATATCCAATTTAAAGACAAACCCATATCCATCATATCCTCTATTTCCTGGTGAATTCCAAATGGTGACATCTAAATCCCAGCCTCTAGGGAGTTCACCCAAGCCATCCCCATCTCCAACAATTTCAGCAAGCTTCTTCCATTCCTTCCACTGCCCGCAGGGCCGCACGTAGCGTCTGTACTGCAGACATTGCTGGACCAAGCGCGCCGTCTCTGGATTGCGAAAGTCCGGACAAGCCTGGCAAAGTTGGCTTGTCAAAGCCCAGGTAAGTCGCAGTGAGGATTAGAAACCTGGGCAGTTGCTACATATATCTCATGATATCTTATGCATATATGTTAAAGTGTGTTATAGCTAGAGACACTGTATACACATGTGTAGGCATATGATTGCATTTGAGATATACAAGGTACACATACATTACTGTAGATAGATGTGCAGCGTGTGTTATATATAAGAATGTATGAGATACCGTATGTTATAGCATTAAGCAAATCAGAATACCTGGTTGTAATCCTTGCAGGGCCCATCGTGGCAGGAGGGATCAATTGCAAACTCAGTTTCAGCAAATGTGTCTACCCATTTTCACAGGATTTGTACAGGGCACCAGGGCTCGACATATCTCTCCCATCATAAAACAATCATGTACACATTTGTATAAGTTGTATCATGCATATCATGTAATATATCATCTTTTATTATTATGTGTGTTATCATTTCTGTATCATTCATATTCTATCCGTCTAGATCATTTTGTCTCAATATGTCCTGAAAGTTCCTTTTAGCTGGTAAACACCATCTTTCTTCCCAGCGCTAGGCGCGCCTCGCTGAGCAGCTTCTCTAAGGGCTGCACCACCTCCAGTAGCCCTTCAGCCGGGCACCTAGGCTCCAGTGCTGCTATCTATCTATCTATCTATCTATCTATCCATCCATCCATCCATCCATCCATCCATCCATCGATCCATCCATCCATCCATCCATCCATCCATCCATCCATCCATCCATCCATCCATCAGAATCTATCAGAATCTATCAGAATCTATCAGAATCGATCAGAATCGATCAGAATCGATCAGAATCGATCAGAATCTATCAGAATCTATCAGAATCTATCAGAATCTATCAGAATCTATCAGAATCTATCAGAATCTATCAGAATCTATCAGAATCTATCAGGATCTATCAGGATCTATGAGGATCAGGATATATCCATCCATCCATCCATCCATCCATCCATCCATCCGTCCCTCCGTCCGTCCATCCATCCATCTATCTGTGTGTATGTGTATGTATATTGGTGTTTGTCTATATGACTGTCAGAGAATGAGTGAAAGTGCTTCTGATATCAACAATGGGCCTGACAATGGGTATGAAGTTTACAGACATGAAGATACTAAAACCCTCCGTTGCTGAATTGGAAAATGGGGACTTAACCAACAAAAAGGTAAAATACTCCTGAAGAGATAGAATGTGGGATTTTCAAAGCTATTCCCATGTTAGTGAGCAGAGATTGAAATTTACATATTTTATAGAAAGAGCATCTGTCCACCGACAATTTTGGCCAAACTTAGAGTCAATGTCCAAGTTTGGATCAAAAGAATCTGGAAAAATGCAGGAAAACAACATGATCGTTCAGCAACTTGAGCGAAAACCTGAGAAAACTTGGCCTTCCCAAGCACGACATCTTGGAGAGACCCTCATTGGTGTGAGCCACCGATTTTGGACTCATGTTGGTCATTGAATAACCCTGAAGGCTCATCTTTCACCAGGTAATGAACTCCCGCAAGATAAGAATTTGAGATTTTTGCCTTGGCTAGGTAGGCACCATGAAAAGTCAGCCCTCCTTTTAGGCAAGGAACTCCTGCAAATGAGCGGCTTCAAGCGATGCAGGACCTACCTGCCAGGAGTGGCTGGATTTCAAGTGACCAACGGCTACTGGTAGGATCTGGTAGGGACGATCCAGTGTTAGGCATCAGAGCAACAAAATTGGTGATTCGTTGACAATTGGCAATAATAACATCCAAGAACCAGTGGCAATGGAAAATCCCATGAAAATCCTCATGTTCAGCGTTGATTCGGCAGCGAGATTCCAAGGGGTACGGTACCTCGCAACTAACATGGCCATGTGGAGCACAATGGGTCCATGCCTTGACCCCTCACAGCTGCCAGCTGGCAACACATTTCTCTTGCAATATGCAAAACAATTTTGTCGGTTCATTCATTTCAGACTTTTTTAGCGTATACTTGAGATGAAAAAATGTGTCGAATAGTCTCGTCTCGGCTTTTCAGATGCTCAAAATCACCTCTCAATTGTCGGTCCAAACAGGTGCCGTTGGAAATCGCCATCCCTACCAGGCCCTACCATCCACACATGCCAAGTGGATCCAAGTGGCCCATTTACATCCCAAGTGTTGGTTCTTGCATTCGACCTCCATCCCAACACATTCCTGAGACGGCCAGTAATACGGGTCCATCCGGCATCCCAAAGATATGAAAGATCTGAAAGTCGAGTGAAACATGTGATATCATCACCACATATATATATAATGTTAGTAAAGCAATACTGTAAGAAACCAAACCACCCATAATTTGATGGTTTACACCACGCATTTGTTGTAAATGGTGGGATTGTTTACTATTGCTTTACTAACATTACTTTGAAAGCAACAAAAGACTGACCAACAACGAAAAAAACCTCAGGAAAGTGCAGCCACAAGGCCAACTCATGGCTTTCCAGTTCGTCACTGCAGCCCATCCATTGGCATCCCTTAGATGCCCTTGGACATGGCCGTGGCTGCCAAGGACATCTACTGAGATGCGCCTTGTGGAAGAGTCATGTGGCTGAGCTGAGGGGCACAAAGGGGGGCACAGTTGAGGTTACAAATTGGTATAACCGTGGGAATTTAAACCCCCAAAAGTTGGGATATAAGCCCTATAAGTATAATGGTTATGTATCCACTTAGACCAGTTTTAGTGGATATCAAGCATAGAACATGGAATTGTTTGTTGATTATTCGACGGGGAAAATCTGGAAATCAATATGAATCGCACAGCATTTTAAGTGCGAGCTGGAAGTAGCAGCTGCTATAACATGGTTTGCCCTGTGGCACAAACTAGTATGCTGGAAAGTCGCAATGAGAGAGGAGCTTCCTCTACAAGACTCTACATCTCATATCAAAAAAGAATCAAACTCAAAACACGATTTCCCAGCTACCCAGTAGCCAGGTTTGTTTATCAAATGGCAAATTCCTGGTATCTGCTTATAGATCTTATAGATAGTTTTCAACAACAAAAGAAAAGCATTTCCCGTGTCAGGTGAGGGTAAACCAATAGCTGTGGTTGGGAAAGTCTGAATTCTAGCTCCAACTGAATCCGAATCGTAGCTCCAACTGGCCCTCCATGAAATGTGGATTCCCATGGCTCCTTAGCTCCTTAACCACCGGGATAGATAGGGTGTACCCCAACTCCAAGTATCTCCAAGTGAAATGTCAGGCTATGTGAGGCTTAACTTCGCACCGCTGGCACCACTGGCACCTCCAAGTGATGCGACCAAAATCTCTGCTGGCAGCGCTGGTGTGGACACGCTCGCACTTCTGCTTGGCCAAGTCCCAGTTCACCTCGGACGGGATCAGCGCCCGCAGATGGTTTGGTATTGGATCATCCATGTGGAGGCCCACATGGGGTGTATTTGACATTAGGCGGGGACTTATTCTATCGGTCTAGCATTGTCTAGCTATCTTGCTTATTTATATGCGTATATTATGATATTAGGTGGCAAGTTATATATCTCTGTGGTTTTTGCTCGATATGTTCCGGTTCCTCTCAGTCCGATGACAACACACCAAGTCAGCCCTCCTGACTGCGCAGTCCAAGTCACAGCTCAAGAGCAGCTCGTATCGCCCCACCTTAGGAAGCAGCTTAGGCTGGAGGGTAGCAAGCAAGTCATGGAACTTCCATTAGAAGACACCCTGGAGCCCTTCAAGCAAGTCATGGAAAGTCATGGAGCCCTTCAAGCAAGACACGCCCTCCAAACATGACCATCATGTCATCATGAATCATGACCTTGTAAAATCATGTAAAATCATAATCGTCAAGAAAATCCACGATGAATTTTCCAGCCATTCTGCTAAACCCCAGCCTCGAGTTGGAAGGACGCCCGGCTGACGCCCATGGCACCGTCCACCAGTCCTGAAGTCACCCCCGATGGACCCGAGGGATCAACCGGGTTCATTGATCGTTGCAAAAAGTGGCAGCCACCAAAGTATCCAAAGTCAGGAAGATTGAAGGATACAGTCAAGAATTCAAGAATCCTCATTGTAGCGAGGGCTAAATGCATCCAATATATCTATATCAACAAGATTCAACAAGTAAACAAGCAATGGTAGAGCTGACCAGCTGGACCAGCTGGCTGCCCCTCCTGCACCCGACACATGCCGCGCGCGGGCCACCAATCGAGGTGCCAGCTCCTGATCGAGGGATCCTAGTCAGTCATGGATGAAAAATCCTCAGGATCAACAAACCACCGAAAATTGCAGTCCACATACTAACCCCAATGCAATTCATCAAGGGTTTTCCGACAGCCTTAAACTTCAAACTGTCCAGCTCTTGAAGGAAACTGAATTCTTTGGGTCCTAATTTTTGAGCTCCAAGGTTGGGTTTCAGCGAAGTGATCTCAGCTCGAAGCTGCTCAAATTTGCTTCGTTCCTTGAGCCGTGATATGAACTAAACCCGATCTGAATCAAATGTGCCCACCCGAAAATGCCTAGCTATGCCTAGCTATATCAATGGCTTAATCCAAACGCTGTAAGATACATTGAACAGCTTCAAGTCCCCCCCCAATGGTGGGTCACCGAGCAATGAAAATCATTGACCCCCCCAAAAGATTAGATGATTTACCAAGTGGATCGTTCATTGAGCAATTTAAAGGGATTGATCCCAAAAAAATGACCGGTTCCAGCTGGCCCCTGGGCCTGCAAGCCGTGGGGGTCCCAGTTGAGCCACAAGCCGCGCGCGCTCTCAGGCGCCGAGGGCTCGGAGTGATCCTCTTTTGGCAGGGGGAAGATCTAGGCTTTCGAGATGAAGTCATCTTTTTGGATCGTGTTGGCTGGGGGTTAATTCCAAGAATATGTTATTAAATGTATTATATATATATATATATTTTCACATACACACACACGTATATATATGTGTGTGTGTATATATCAGAGAAAAACATCCGAAGAAGATGATGCCGAAAGTAGTCTCCAGTAAACACTGCTACTTTACAAAATCCAGCATTTTTCGATCATTTCCGAACGGGAAAGCCATAGATTTACACCCAGCCTCCAACTTCAGGACCACCGGCAGGTCGAAGCAGCCCACAGCGCTAGCGGTGGCACAGTGCCGTGTCTCGCTGCTGGTGCTCTGGCAGGGCATCGTACTGGCGTCCACACGCTCCACTGGTACGGCAGGCCATTGGGCCACCTGCAGGGAGAGGATATGCTGAGCTCGTTTTAAAATATTTATGACTACGTTAGAATGGTTTAGGAGATGTTATTGTAGAATACTGTAGCATAGTTTAGAATATTCTAGGATAGTTTAGGATATGGTAAGGTGATTTTAAGATATGTTAAGATATTTTCCGATATTTCAGGATGTTCCAGGAAATGTTAGGTCTGTCCAGTCGCCTACGAGTGGTGGAAAATGATAATTACCATGAAATTCATGGCTGAAGACAGCTGAAATGTATCATGGATGGACGATGAAGTTGGTTAAGACTTTGGGATGCTGGCCATCAAATATCTTGAAAAAATCTTGGGCATTCACCTACCAACCCACGGTTTACTTCCGATAATTAAACACGGCTTGCCGGAAAATCCCATCTTTAAAAAAAAAAGTTTTCAAATAAAAACCTCCGTTTGGGGATTTCTCAGCCATGTTTGATGAAACCGCAGGGTACTTATCGTTGTTTCATGTTGTTTCCGGGGTGTTTCTGAGCAGGACCAGTGGGGATCATCGTGCCATGGGATGCCATCAGGTCACTGCATCCACCGAAGCCGCCACGTTTTGCACTTCCGCATCTGCCATCGCCCGCACGATGTGCAACGGATCGGTACCTACGTCTTTCACCTGGCACCATCGCCGGGGACCCGCCCTACGTTAACCGACTGAGACTCTATGACCAAAGTCAAACGACTTATATATCTTTATTTTACTACAGTAGCGATGCCCAAACCAGGGGTAAAGTGAATCAATCGGATTTGTTGGGTTTGTACAACGTTTTGTGTAATGCTTGAGTGATGCAGTAGTTTCTAATCCTGCGGCATGGCTCACCAACTTTGAGTATAAAGGGAATGAAGGTAACCTTGATGCCCTCAAGGATGTCAAATCATGGCGCCCCCTGGTGAACATCTCAATGAACTGACCAAAAGAGAAATGAATCAATGAAATGTTCACGAACCCAAAATGGAGGTACCGTACTATATAAAGCCATATTCTTGGGGCATATCCCCTGACATAGACCCTACATATGGTAGATACCTCAATTTAGGTTCCTGAAATGTTCTCAAAAAAAAAGTAACAGCTGCTTTCTTGAAAGCAAAGGGCGCCTACTTTCAACCAAGCAAGCAGTACTGTAATTACAGCAACCACTTTGCAAAGAGAAGGATATCTCTGCCATCATCTGCCCATTTTGGGGATTGGCGAAAGATTTACGGCATAATATTCATATAATCATATATAATCCATTAAATCATCCGATATATGCACATCATGTCAAACATGTCAAACCACGGAAAATGCCCCATCTACCACGAAGCACCTCCCAGATCGTCTCGGTTTGCGCATCCACGCCGGAATCGGCGCATCGACGTTTCAGCTCCTCTCCGTCCACAGGAATTTCACCTGCGGCATCTGGATGATCACCAGGATGATCGTTGATCCATGTCCATATGGGGGGTTCTTTTTGGGGGATCCCCAAAACATCCCAAAACCATGGCTTTCAATACGAAAATTGTCTAATGACTTGGATGATTTAGGGCTACCCCTGAGGAAACATCAATACATTCAATAACTACAGAGATCATCTGTCCTGCATCATCTCTCCATCTCGCTCTCGCTCTCTCTCTCTCTCTCTCTCTCTTTTGGCAATGGCCTCGCACCTGCATCCATCATCCATATCCTACACTGACTAATGAGTAAGTTCTATTATATATAGGCACGCGAGTGGGTTGCCACCCCTTTATCCATGTGCATAAGCTAAAAACCGCAGAAAGTACTATATGAAACTGCTTCCCCAGTGTATTCTTGTGTGTATTTATCATTTTTTGTGTGGTTATTCATGTTGCCAACATTGTGATGTCTAGGTGATGATATCTATATTGATATCTATATCTATATCTATATCTATATCTATAATATGTATATGTAGGCTATATGATATATATTATATGTTTCCAGGATAAAGACCTTGTCGTTCCAAGGATGCGAACAATGTTTGACACGTTCATGCATCACGTGGAATCAAGCATTGCATCGCGGACATATGTTGAGTATGTCCATATAAGGCAAGCAATCCCTGATCATGTTCACTTGTGTAATCTTAGTCAAGTGAAAAACAGGGGGCTGTAACCCAGACACTTACCTAATTATATGGAGGTGTCCGAAAATGGTCGTACCCCTAAATCCTCCATTTATAGATTGATTTTCCATTATAAACTATAAACAATCCATCTTGGGGTATCCCCATTGCTACCATCCATATGCAAATCTAAGCCCAACAGCCTCCTTGCAGCCAGGAATCAATGGCCCATGGCCAGTGGCATTGAGAGACCAGCAGAGCGGTGGTATGACAACACCGAAACCCAGAAATGGCCAGGTGGAATGCCCTCCAACCTGCGACGGCACACCCTGGACGGCAGGAGTTGCCTCTAAATTATCCCCTAGCGAAGTATTGGATGGTCAGAGGCCAGTCTATACCTAACTACTAAATATTATGACCTAATCTACTGATATAGAAAATTAGGTCATTACCATATATACTAATATAAAAAATTAGGTCATTATCTCATCCAATCTCTGATATATAATAACCTAATCTACTCTACCGGCAATCTCACCTACTCGCTTTGCCAAAATCCGACATATCTTCGGTTCAGACATTTGGATGCCTAGTGGGCTCGACAGGCAGCAGTTTGGAAGCACCCTGCTAGGCAGGCTTAGTCAGTCTTATTCACCACGGCTCTTACGCAGCAGTTTGGGGGTACCACAGGAACTCCCCTTCTGTGATTTGGCACCATTATGGGGCTAATACCTTATCTACCTGGCTGAAAAAAAAGAAAAACAACACATCTAATAATTAGATGATTTTACTCTATATCACTCTAACATACTCCAACAAGAATTGTGACCTTCGGGTTTGCCATGTTTGATGGAGGGTGCAATCAAATTCTCTGATCATCTACTGAACTCCGGCGAATCATAAAGGCGAGTGCCTTTCCAAAAAACCCTTGCAAATGTTGAAAATCACCAAAATGCTATATATATATATATTTGTGTGTGATTCTTGTTTAAACAGAAAAACTCGCTAACCTGAAAGAAAAAATCCTCTTTTGCGATACTTAGAGAGGTTATATATATATACACACATCATATGATATATACATTTATATATATATATATACACATCATTAAATGATATGATATATAATATTATATAATATAATTACATACCCCCTAGTGTTCCCATCCACCAAAAACGCAGCGAAGCGGCCGCAAGCCACTGCTCTCCTCCAAAGGCTCAGGGCGGCCGGGCAGCATCTCAATGCCTTGGTCGAGGAACAGCCGATCTTTTTTGAACTGGGTCTAAAGGGAGTTGATGTTTCGGAAAAAATGGAAATTCACTCGGAAATCCATGGATTTAAAATGATTTTAAGATATTCTAAGATTTATGTAAGATGACTGAAGAATATATTTTAATATTTTAAGAATACGTATTCTTTATTTTTTTATATCATTCTGAAAGCAAATGATGGTGGAGTTGATATTCCTGAAGAATAGTTTCTCAAAACAATTAGTCCCTCATTTGTGGATAGTTTCCGAAGAAGAAAACTTTCACGTTTACATACTGGGAATTGTCGCAAAATTCCGAAATAAGTTTGCTTTAAGGTCTGGTTCTCCATCTGTGTAGCCATCATGCGGTGCAAATTGTGAGAATCCCCACATCAAAAGTAAGTCATTTCTTGGAGAACGTCCTGTAAATCATCATGTGGGGTACTTGAAGAACCCCAAACAACTTTCATGAGAAAAACCATAGAAAAACCAGTGGAATTTCCCCTTAAAAACAATCCAATGATGCACCTAATTCGATTGGCTGAATCATTTCAACTAATTAAAGAGATGGTAAAACCCCAACCTTTGGGATATCTGGGGATGATACGAATGGAAACTACCAAGCCGATGCCAAGCCGATCTGCGCAGGAGGTTTTTTCGGTCGAAGCTGTGAAATACCACGAACCAGGCTTCACACAGCACCTGAAGCCATGATGGAACTGATGGGGAGCTTGGTCATTTCTTGATCCCCTGCGTTGCCACGAAAGAGGTGTCAAATCGAAGCATGTGGCGTTCTCGGGCATCTGATGCCTGCCCCTTTAGGAGATGCATCCCAGGAATAAGTGGGCATTCACCAAAAACTAAAAATATGGAATATCCATGCTATCCCCATTTACATCCATTTACATATGGGTCATTATGGGTTGTAAACGACTTATGAAGTGGGATACACATCCAAGTGGGCCGTGAATAATACCTTCATCCTGGCCCATCTCATTCTACTGCATGATAAGAAAAAGTTGTTCCACTTATTGATTAGCTCATAATCCCGATAAACTAGGTAAAAAAAAGGATAACTACACCCAAAATTAACAAATGGAGAGATGAAAATTATCAACTGTTCTTGGTGTGACCCACTCATCCAGCCAGTTCTCACTCCCATCCAAAAAAAGTGCCTCTTCCATCCCTGACCAAGTCAGTCGCAAGCTCTGGGTGACCACATCCAGGTCCTTAGGAACGGAAA